GAAGTGATTCACAATCAATTTCATTACTTTTTAGCTTCATAGGCTCCATTGTGTGTGTAAATCTATATCTATATATCAGACCAACCAAATTCAATTGATTTTCAATGTAAAATGCTTCTATTCTATTCACCATAAGACATTCAGGGCTTCTAATGATAAGCGATGAGAAGCGATGGGACAGGACTCACCCCCATGCCCCGCACTGTTCATAAGTGCTTATTGACATCAGAGAGAGGTAACCAGCGGACAGGAACAGCGTGATTCACCGGTGTCGAGCAGCCACACACAGCACAGCAGAGTCACACTTAAGTATGTGAATCCAGAGTCGCTCATGTTATTGTGTCTTCTTTTAGACTTGTCACAAAGCCATTGTCCTCTGGTGGAATGGAAAGACTTCAACGGAAAGACTTAATTGGTAGTTGGTGTATTTCTCCCGCCTAGGCACTGTGAGAAATATGCACATCTTATTTGCAAATTGAAGAACATCAGAAACCGGTTCGCCACTCCTTCTTGAAGCATTGAACATTAATAACTGACCTTGATTGGATCAAATTGTTTTTCTTAACCAATGCTGCTGGTGTGGAATCAACAATTACTCACGACCTAAGACGAGCGACTTCTGAGATAAACAATGATTTAAAAATAAATGAATGTGTTTGTTTAGCCAATAGCGGAGAATATTGCATGAGCTGAAACTGTAGCGCTTGTTTAGGGTGTTTCCCAGTCTACGGTTGCATTGCCTCAGAAACAGATCACCGATCGCTATCATAACATCCTTCCTAAGAGGTTTACCTGCAGCATGTATGTCATGCCATCCATCTGTTCTGTGAATTGCCTTGATGCGAACCAAGGTGTTTTACACCAATCAATAATAAAAGCCCATTCTGCATCTACTAGACTGAAAAGTAGTAAAGTTAGACCATTGTTCCATAGAAAAGGTCATGAAAACTTTCCCCCTCTTTGCCCTATGGCGGATGTTCAGTGTAAACATCCACAGAGCCGTCCTGCTCCAGACTCCACTCCTCACTGTTAGGGCCTTCCTGCTGCAGATTTGTTATTTACTTCATTTCTGACAGATCGACATCTTTGACGAGTAGCCGCAGCTTATCTTTGCGTAAACAAGAATAAACAAGGGGACAATGGTGGTCACCGTAAGAATGTGACTTGTGAGGATGGCTACCATTTTATGCATGTTTCACATTTCAGGAGTATATTAAAACCTTTCCAGGCTTCATAGCTGTTCTTTTTAGGTGTTCCAGACCGCAAAATGAGACACATCCTCTGCAGAGTTAAGAGTCACTAAGCATTTCCAATTTAATGTTTTAGGTGTGATTTGTCATTTGAGAAGACTTAGTCAGTCGTGGCTTGTTTTTCCTCCTGACAATAGAAAAAGGATGTTTATTTTGATCAACTCCATTCTTTTTAATGAATTATAGCGAGTAGGTCTACGCTGCCCGTCATGGTGCACCCGTAACACTCAGTCAACAATGTACAAATGTGGTGTACAAATCATTGAGCATTATTTTAAGAAAATATGCTGGGTCCCTTTAAAACAAGATGTACTCAAAGCTTGACATCGTTGTTTCCAAGTGTGATAGATTTCCTCCTTTGCAGCTTTACATTCTTCACAGAAGACTGACAAGAGAACAGTACAATAGTTCATTAAGGCAGTCTTTACAATGACAGGACATTTCCTGCAGCAGATGAGCCTACATAAAGGTTACATGTGTCAGCAGTGTTCATCCGCTTTCAGTAGCAGCGTGTGTTATATATAATGCAGGAAATGCAACGTATGTGAACAATATGCTAACATGCACCGTGGATTCATTGCGTGCAATGACACCATGAAAAGGTTCCTTTAGACTTTTCATAGTTCTACTGTCATTCTGAACAAAGGCATTCCCTTGAAGATCTATGAATTAGCCAGAACAAAACTCAACATCGCATCTCGATCCAAATCTTTAGAGCAAAGCCGGAAGTCTTTGCCTTGTCGGAATTTGATAAAAGAGAAGCCGCAGCACTGTAAGACGATTCTGTGGAAGGGTGTATCGGTTTTTAATGAAAACATTCCTCAATGATTCTTGTCAAATAAGGGAAGCATTTATTTGTGACAGCAATTCATCTTCTCATTGTTCTGTCAGTTCAAGGCAGCATCCTGACTAAATGTTTATGACTCGTGACCTGTTGGGTCGCTCTGTCGACAATGTTTTCACTGTATCAAAACAAAAAGTGGAATTATAGACATTTGTTTTGTTTTAAAATTATGCACAAAAGGGAGTTCATGTTGTCTCCATCTCCCTTAGCTTCTTTTTTTTCTCATTGAAGCGTAACACCAAACATTGCAGGATATTCAAGCAATATAAAGTAAGGCCAAAGAAGTGCAAGGGCTCAGTACAGGCTGACTTCATTCCCATGTGCCGGCACTGTCAAGAGGTCATTATTACATTACATTACAGGTCATTTAGCTGACGCTTTTATCCAAAGCGACTTACATTCCATTTCGACATTTGACATTTTGGTCATAATGAGCCTTAATAAAAGCAAATCACAAAATGACATTAAACACAATACACAGAGAGATGGTTATGTGCTCACCAGTTAATGGTATCAGGATATGCATTTTTGACAAGGGCCTTAATGTTGAGAGTGATGATCTCTGGGGCCCTGGCTTTTCAGAACCATCCGTGAGAACCAGCTGGTCTTGGCTGATTGTCGACCGCTCCCTCATCTTATCTCCAGTTTGTACCACAGGACACGCTGATGTGTGTGTTTGCGTGTGTGTCCGTTTCCCTACTACTGCTCTGGCTGCAGGGCATTCTGGTAAAGCTCTTCAGAGAGCCTGTCCCACACTGAGCAGTCATCGGTGTCATTTAGCGTTACACAACAGACCCGCAGCACTTAGCCACATAAATGATCGGGATGGAGGCGGCAAAAAAGGAGAGAAGTGCTTGCAACAAGAAGGAGAGACGACCAGGAGAGCAGACAGACAGAGAGGCAGAGAGGGAGAGAGCATGTATACTGAGGTGCAGAGAGGTCTGTGATGACCAGATAAAGCAATCGCAGCAGCAGAGAAAAAACACACTTTAATTGATTCGTTTATTTATAGTAATACAAATTACATTTCATACTACATTTCTCTTTCAAAATGGGAGTTAGGTCACGTGGGATGTGTGTATTTTACAACTTTGGGTGCGTTGTTGTATCAATATTACTTTATATATTATCATTCATATTATTTACATGATATCTATTATATACTGGAAATATGTATTATCTATTTATTTCCTAAAACATAATCATTTCCAAGAGAAATTTACATATGTGGTATATTTGTTAGAAAATGAGCCAGTGGTGTCGAGACTATGTTTTACATTCTATTAAAATCACTGGCGCTATATTGCCAGAGGCAATATAACAGTTTTTTTCAATGAGTGTACATACGGAATTGCTCTTAATCTCAAATTATCCCCGACTTCATGTTTGATGCTTTTTTATGTGCATGTTCCCTTTGCTTTAAGGCTTTTACCCTTTTATATTTGTCTAATGTATATGAAAATATAGTAGAATATTACAGTATTAATATGTGATATAACAGTGAAGAAGAAAAAAGGGAGTCACCGTCTTGAGAAGTGCAAGGTCAGAGGGCAAAGCAGAAGTGCCAATCCGGTCTGATAAGGATGAGGAGTTAGAGACACACCAAGCACCATACAACACTCACGCTGTGTTCGTTATGTTTACATTAATGTTAGGAGACCACACATTGTATGTGATTGGATCTTGTACTGCAGCAAGAGAACCTGCTCCTCCTCAACGCCAGTTTAGGGCCAATAGAAATCTTTTCTTCTACTGTATATCTAAGAACATGTACAAAATGTAATGTTCTTCCTGATCTTAGTTTGGTTGTTTTTCTGGACCTGCGTGCTGCCAGAACTGCTCCTGCCTTTGGAAACGCAGCGCTGATACTTGACCTGTGATCTGACAAATAAATCTACCAGAACGAGAGAATTTGTGCAGAATAACCCCAAACAGGCTTCCAATTTTGATCACGTTCAACAGCACAATAATTGGAAAAAGATGTTATAAAATATATATATTTCATATCCTAATATCGAGTGTTTAAAACTACAGCTAAGCTATAATCTGATTATTGTCCCCCATCCTGTTGGTTGGCCCCAACAGCTGTGGGACTGTGATGCCTGTGTCTTATATAACAACCCCCCTCCTCCCTGCTTTGCTTTTCTCTCTCATCTCCTCTCCCTTCTGTATGTTTATGCTGATGATGTGTCAAAACACTCCAGCTGAGTAACATATCTGCCCTTTCCCTCTGCAAAGATGCACAGACTCGGTTTGTGACTATTAAAAATTCAGGTCTGTTTGGGATGGTTGTCCTCATAAATATTGACTGTAAGGCCTAAGCAGTGATCCAAAATTAGGGGGGAACACACGTGTGTTGTGTTCCCTCTGCTGACACATAAGTCTGGCTGTGTGAAATTAAGATGGAATTATTTATGGCCACACAGACACGGCGGTCCTCTGCCGCTGGTGTGTGATGTATTGCTGTTAATCTGGCCTTTTGAATGTAATTGCAGCAGTGGTACATTCAAGCGATGTATTTATTGCCTCCACCACTGTTTTTTTTAATACCAACAAACTGACAACATATTGTTCTATCCTGTGTTTTGTGAAGTAAGTGTAGGTGAAGAATAACTGAATCCTAATTGGTTGGAGATGAATCAAAGTGTCCTTCCCTGTGGCTCTGGCTGACACATATCGGTATCACACAGGAAATCTGGACAGGGTCATGGCTTAATTAGTGGACCTAAAAGCTAAAAAAAAAATCTGTCCAATTACATTTTGAGTTATTCTTCACGGCAAAGTTTAATGGAAGAACACCTGATGCTGTAAATAGCCAAAAATCCTGGCAAAAAACCTGCCTACAACAGTAACGTTCATTTCCTGTCAATAAGTCACATTTCTTATTCTCCTTTCTCCCTCTGCAGTCTTCATCTGCAGCTTCATGGTGGCCGCCCCCATCTTCGGTTACCTGGGCGACCGCTTCAACAGAAAGGTCATCCTGAGCTGCGGCATTTTCTTCTGGTCCATTGTTACTCTGTCAAGCTCCTTCATCAGCAAAGAGGTACGACATTCTCTTAGAGAGGATCCCGTGTTATTCTATTAGTCTGCCGTCCCAGTGGCAAGCTAATTATTCTGCTATGATCTGGATATGCTTCATGTTAAGACTTGTGGGAAAAATACAACAGGCTTTTTAAGTCCGACGCTTTTCCTTTTGTTGCCAGTCAGCTAATGAAGGCCCATGCCCCAGACCCGTCGCAACTACAGTGCTTTAGAAGATAAGACGCCAGTTTCACTGTTGACAAGCGGATTTAGATGTGATATCACTAAAAGCCCCAGAGTGCCGGGCCGTAGTGGGTGCATTAAACAATAACATTATTCTTTTGAGGTTGGGGGTGTCCCGTGGAGAATGGCCATGTTATTGTGTTATTATGTATCTGTATTTGTGCGTGTGTGTGTGTGTGTGTGTGTGTGTGTGTGTGGAGGTGTGCAGACATACCCCAACATGCAGTCTTGACGGACAGTCGTAATCAAAATCCAACAGACTGACAATCGGAAGCCGCTCTCCCGGCCAATACGCGACATTAAAACTACGTTAGTTGGATGTATGCGGCGTGTGGCGTGTCTACAGAGCAGCAGCATGGAGTCCCGCAGTGTCCTCTCGCCTCAGCTCGTCAGCCCAGAGCCGCTGAAGGAAACGACAGCTCGGAGATGTTAAATCTCCTACAGACTGATCTGCTTGGATGCGAGAGTGCAGCCATGGGCCCCAGCAGGAAATACATTCAGACTCAGATTGTTCGGGTGAAATGAAGGGCCTCTTCCTCCCTGGAGCCTGAAGGCTATCGATTGGCGATGAGGGGAAGGGGACTGATCCTCGTCACCTGCGGCTCTTTGCCACGAACTTTAACTTTGCCCTCAAGACCAGTTCCTGAACACCAATCAAATGAGACAAGAGTAGATGGCTCTTATGTAATAGCTCCACGGCGCCGGCGCCGTGAGAGATGAAAGACATAACATTCGATGAAATGTTAATGACCACTTACTACTGAGTCCTACCATTACGCATTCATCACACTCCGGGCATTTTGGAGGGATTTGCAGCAGATACAGATCTTATGTAACAGAACTTGGCCACGGTCATAGAGTGAAATAGCAAAAAAAAAGATAATGCTGCATGAGTACATGCATAAATATCACTTGAAGGGCTTTTCAATAGAAACTATCGGGGCATGTTATTTATAATTTTATCCAATGGTATTATCATCTTTATAGCTGTAATAATATTGCTATCTGTATGGTATGAAATGGTAGGAATTGGATGCTATGGGTTAAGGCCAAGCAACAGTAAATTATTATACAGTGCCAATGTTAGCATGCTTTAAATATTATCTAAATATGGTAAACATTTCCTACTGAACACCAACACAGTAGCATTGTGTACATTCATTCTTCCGGCTCTGTGAGACCGAACACTCTTACTCTTGTTTAAAAAGAATTACAAAATAGTGGATTTTTAGATGAAAGTGCGTCACCGCAGTTCACAATCTACCTTGAAAAACGTTTTCATTTTTGTTACTGCTTGAAGCATTTCTGGTGACCACAAGCAACCATCATGATCCCACTAATTGTAGGACATTAAAAGTAGAAAATAGACTCGTTGTAAATCCGCGTTGTGCTCTGAATTTATGCTGAGGTCTTACACACTCAATACAAGAGGATTTCATGGACGCAAGGAAGGAAGTTTTGCACTCACATCACCAAGACTACACATAGTTGACAATAAGGCGGCGATGCAACAATTATGCCACAGAACCCACGCAGCTCACTGCCTCTCTCTCGCTCACTCCGACCCGACACACAACATTCTCTCACTGCACAACTTTTCAACCTTCGCAAAGCAGGTGACAATTCCGTCACAGCAGCCAGGCTAGAGTTAGAAAAAGATCACACAGGAAATAAGAGTACCACATTTAAGGTAAACTGAGTGGCGCCTTTTCTTAGCCATGATTCACTGATATCCACGTTCTACGGCACAACAAATAGGCAACGGTCTTACTAGAAACACAATTCAAGCCTGTAGTTTCGTTTGAGAGTTCAGGTCAGCCCGGTCTCAACGTAATCATTAATCTCTTTTCACAGCAGGCAAAACAAAAGTCTTTGATTGTAAGGGCCAAGCACATGAATTTGTCTATGGGGGGATCAAACATTAAATGCGAATGTAAGTCAAACAATGATAAAAATATAGATAATATAGATAAAAATGCAGGCACTACATATAAGCATGAAACCATGCAGCTTGACTGCAATGTTAACAAATTGCACCAACTCCACTGCCAGCTCGTTGTTTTAATGGGCCTAAGGGACAGTATGCAAATTGCTGCACAAAATTTGCGTCACTCCAGTATGTGTGTGTGTGTGTGTGTGTGTGTGTGTGTGGCGGGGGTAGATTTCCCTTGTAGCTTCACGTGCAGGCAGTCTGCAGCCATTGAGTAGCAGTTGCCATGGAAACAGTTAACAATCCATCTGCCTACACAGGTTCCCCCGCTAGTGTGCAGTCTCCTATTAAAGCCTTTTAAGTCTTCATCTTTTCATTCCTCCGTGTATTACTCCTATGGAAGATAATATGCCGTGGTAATTTAATAAAGCCTCACATTCAAATAATGACGGCATGCCATTTCCAAATCTCATTGACTCAAAAAGGATTTGCTTGATCAATTAGGGTTAGAGTAAAGAGACTACGTTGTGCTTGAAGGAAATGTTGGTGATTAAAAAGTATTTTGACCAAGATAAATGGCCCTTGAGTTGACATTGCACCTCGACACAAAACTAATAAAACTCACATTTATTTCTCTGTCTTTGCAGTACTACTGGCTGTTTGTACTCTCCAGGGGACTGGTGGGAATCGGCGAGTCCAGCTACTCCTCCATCTCTCCTACCATCATAGGAGACCTGTTCACTAATAACAGCCGCACCATGATGCTCTCTGTCTTCTACCTGGCCATCCCACTGGGAAGGTAAGTGACACACAGATCCTGTATTCTTGAGGCAAACACTCGGTAACAACGAGATATGAGACATTTATAAAACCATAGTTAGGTGATTCCATCCAATTCAGAATATTCAACTCCAGAGGGTTACAATCAGCGGTGTGTGAAGCTTATGGGAAGGCGGGAGGCTTTCTGGGGGATGTGGCGTGGGGTTGTACAAGTAGGTGTTATTATTAAGCTTAAATCTCTAGCCTTTTCACTTTTTTCAATCAGAAAGCGGGCCATTGGGACGAAACAAACAAAGCCAGGTAATATTGTTACATGAATATTCATGGACGGTAGATGTTGCAAGGGAGCCGCTCGAGTGTTTATGGTTATCCAGGTTTTCTGCACGCACAGCCCAACACAAATCGTAAAGTGGAAAGTGTGGTAGGATGCATGTACAAGAGAAAACCTGAACTGCCCTGAGTGGTTTGGGCAGTGAGTTAGGATCACAGTAAACTGCCCGGCAACGCGGACAATAGAAGGTGAAAGAGTTGGCCTCAGTAAAGTGCAGTCAAACATCCTATCCAGTCTCCCACTTGTTTGTCTTTACTGGGGTTGTTATGACCGTTTCCAGGAAGTGACCTCAGGAATTAGGCCGGGTTCACAGGAAATGGATTCCCCGCCGCCCCCCCAATAGCCGGGTTTCTTTCTGTGTGGCGCCGCTGCCGCCGCCGTTTGATGTGAGCATATTTGGCGTGCTTGAGTTTTATTGTTGGTGTTGAACTTTCCAAACACTCTCGGGGGGAACTCTGATAACATTTGCACTTAGTCACTCACTAGAAATATCATATGCTGTCTGAGCTTGTTCGTACGGTGCTGTTATTTTTAGTGAGCGTCAACCGTTTCCCGGCTGTTGTTTGAGGACGCGTGTACAAAACCAGTTAAACATCTTTCGGCAGCCAGTGTTGATAAGAGTCCACTGGCTACATTTGATCATCATCCGCTGTGCTAATGAGAAAGCAGCGCCTCTTGGCCGCAGGCTCTGCACATGCAGACAAACAGGTTATCTGAGAATTCAGGAAGTCTGACTAAACCTGTAGGAATTAACTGAGATGGAGTCACAGTCCTTTGATGTTTTGGTGATAGTGACAGACGGACTAGAATATGATTCTGTCTATGAGGCCTCGCGTGTTGTGTGGAAGCATCTGGGGGATGACTTTTGTCTCTAGCACTGCAACTAAAACTGATATTCATTGTTCAGTGTTTGCCCCTGGTTTACAGCTTTGCGGGGCAGAACGGACCTGCTGACGGGGGGGGGAGGGGGTTGGGAGGGTGGGAGGGTGGGTGGTAGTAGTAGACGCACACATGTCTGTGTATGCACGCACGTGTTTGGGCGGAACTGCGCAGCGAGGAATGAAAGAAAAAAATCACATTTTCTTGGGGAAACACTGTTATTAAAACACTGTTATTGAAAGGATTATTTTGTAGATTTATAAATTGATCAAAGTGTGTTTTTTTCTGATTCAGATTTTCAGGTTTTCACTGATTATTGCTTAGATTATTCATTTCTTATCTAACTATTTCAAGCCACTGTTATTTCCATTTAGGACTCACAAAACAATCTCTAACTGAAGTATTCTATGCTATTCTATTTCTATTTCACTGCACCGCACAAACACACCCATCAGACAACCGTGTTAATGCCGGGGTCGTGGCCGTTAACTTTGCACCTGCATTTTGTGCACAAATCACACATCCACAAATAGAACAACGGGGCGAGCCGCTACCAGGGCTTTGATCAGTTACACTGTCATAAGCTCTCCCTGTCAAGAACCCAAACACTCAACGTGGCAGACAAACAAGATGTGTGCCGGCTAGGCGAAAGCTTCAGGACACTCACTGAATACCAAGTGCACTTGCCGCTGGACCTCAGTGAAGCACGTTCAGAGGAATGTGAATATGATGGTCTGTGTCTGTCTGTCTCTCAACAGCGGGTTGGGTTACATCCTGGGCTCCAGCGCCAAGGTGGCTGCGGGGGACTGGCACTGGGCACTGAGGGTAAGGGCATCACCCAACAACACTGCACACAAACATGCACACAGAGACAGAAGAGCCCGTCTTGGATCCGGGGTCAGAGGGTTCGCTGGTGACGGAGGCACCGGGGGGCACGCACATGGCTGAACATGCAGCCCTGACATTGTAGTGATGTGACAGAGCAGAGAGAGCTGAAGGCGGCACAGTTCGCACATACATCCACATCATCATCATCATCATCAGTTGAGCCTTCAGCCTTCTACTCTTCTACTTTTACATCAAAGGCACTCAACTTCTTGTGATATGGGTTCAGGCTCAAAGGCTGTGTGTTGTGGTGGTTCAGTTCTGATCCAATGGCTGCAGCGGGGAAAGTGGATTGCTATTAAAGATCAAGGCTGGCGCTAGCTTTTTCTTTTCGGGCTACTGTAAACACATTCATCTTTAATTACACTTTAGCCGCGGGGGTCTTCTCAGGTGACACGGCACATCAATGCCGTCCTCGTGAAATAACAAGGTGAAAGTGCTTCTTCTGCTGTGTCTAGAGCTTCGTGAAACAATAAGGTTTCATTCTCTATTGAGGGATTGTTGCAGGTGAATTCTGGCCCTATCAGGTCTGACTGTGAATTTCTTTTTGGTCAACCAAATGTGTCATTACAGCACAACAGAGACCAACCAGCCTGCTATTGCTTCTGCAAAACAAATACTTTTTTAATACAAAAGATAACAAGTAAAATTGCATGGAATGAAAATGATGCCCTGATCATCTCTTGAGGTGTTCTTTAGAGAACTATAATCTTAACTAGAGAAGACACCTGGCTCCCGCGTGAGGCAGTTCGACCGAGCACAAAGAAAAACTTGGTTCTTACACACACACAAACCCACTTAGGGTTGCTTCCAAAAACAAAAAATCCTGACAGGACACTTCTTTGCAGTAGCATTCTCACAGCGCACTTAGGAGCAAACACGGGAGTAAATCAGGAGCATAAATCACTGTTGTCATAGCACTTTTTTACTGTGACCCCATTGGGACGCTGGAGACAAAACGTTTAGAAGCCTACAGCTCAATAAGGCATACCAACAGCAACGGAGAGGACCAATGAAAGGACTAACAGGACTCCCCAAGAGCCGCTGACTTCAGGGTCAGCTTTAAAAACCTTCTAACAAATGATGACCCAACTCTTATTATGACCCGGCTGACATTTTAAAGGAACATTTTAAAGTCCTCTCGGTATGTGATGGTGGAGAAGATTCCTGGACGTGGCAACTTGCTGGGTTAGAGGAAACAGGACATACGTTTCGTTTTGTTTTTCTGGCGTATTAAAAGAGAAGAAAAGAAAACACAAAGAGCGGGGCGGTTTGTTCCACAGCAGTCCCAATCACATTCCAATAAAACAATCTCAAAGCCAATTAATCACCAGTGTGGCATGGAAAGCAAAACAAATACCAAGACATGAAACGGGTTCTGTGGAGCAGTTTCCTGCTTAAAGGAAAAAAACACCGCAGCGCTTCCGTTTGTTTTGTTCATGTTCAGCTACCTTCCGTAGCAAAAGAATGTGGCCGATAAGGAACAGGGGGGATGCACAGAAACGAGGAGCACAGGAGGGTAGTAACTAATTTGTTTGATTGCCTTGTATCCATGTGGAAAGTGTCTAATGTAGCAGCCAAGGTCAAGGAGGGGACTTATAAAACCTGTGCAAAACAGAGCTCATATTTATTTTCCTCTCGGCAAGCTCTGTATCTTCCGATAGGTTGCCTCACGCTGAAAAATCATTTATAACTACTGATGTAGATGTCGATCCAATTAAAACGCTCCACACAAGCAGAAGACCATTAGGGAGAAGACACAATATAGGAAAGGAAATTATCACCTTAATCCTCAAATGAGTCTTAGAATGACTCCCTCACTGAAAAACCCGCCCACACACACACACATATAGATACGTGCACATTTCACAGCACATAAATAGCTTTTATAAGCTGCAAAGTATAATATGATGAATTTCACCTGACAGACTGCAAAATGGTTTTGCTTTTGTGAGCAAAATGTATTACTCAAACAATT